AATCTTAAAAAAAGACTGTGACTACAATCAACACGGCTTTATGTTGCTAGCTGACAAATAACAACAGCATTAGTGCAAACAAGAAGTAAGAAGGAAACGGATCACAGTTATTTCTATATCTTGGTATTAACTAGTTATATCATTGAAAATGTTTCTATCATGAAGACATGGACCAGAAGAGGATGAGGCACAAACATGTGCCGGATGTGAAACACTCAGAAGGGGTGAAGTGGTTTGAAGGCAGCTGGTGTCACAGTTGTATTAGCACCATGTATTAGTCCTGATGCTGACATGCTGTTAGCAGATTACTACGTTTGCTCCTTGATCAGCTTCAGTACAACACCTCCCCGATACAATCATCACATTACCAGTACAGTGTGATTGAACAACCTTGATCAGTGATGTCACTGTCATGTGCTCAGTCTCTCACCTGCTTTACTGTTCTTCACTCTCTCCCAGCGGCTGCTGGAGGCCGGAGCTGCCGGAGCCGCCGGAGCCGCTGCTGCTGTTTCTGCCGCAGCACAGAACATCCTCCTCGCTACACGCAACGAAGCCATTTCCACCGTGCTTCAGTCCCCGGGACGGTTCACCTTCATGTGAGAGACCCGCTGACAGGACAGGGCGGCTCACATGGAGCCAAAATGGCGGCCGGGGATGAGGCTGTCTAAGCCGTCCGACAAGAATCTCTACCTCGCAAACGTTCCGCTTGAAGTCAGATTGTGCTCTTTATTAATATATGGCTGTTGTTCTCACCGTGTAGACAACTTTATTACTTAAGTACAGAAAAGAAGGTAAATCAAATGAGTTGAAATAAAAAAATCAACGGGCTTCTAATAATTTTAATGATTCAATAAAGTTAGGGTTTGATGACTGACTCATTATTCATGTACATTAATGATATGTGGTTCAACAGAAACTATTTCAGACAGTAAATATAGTTTTTCACACATTTACGCTGGAACGCCACAGAGGTGCAGTAATGGTGTATACCGCCATCTACCGGACAGGAGTGTGTACAATTTGTATTCAGGGAATTAAACCAGTTTCTTTCAATATTTACTCGAACCTGTGTTCACTTTACATTATTATTTTTTGAAGTCTCGTGAATCACATAAATATATTGTTCTGGTATTAAATGGGAAAACAGAGACATTTAAAAAATATTTTTTTATTTTATCCTTCGATTAGATTTTTTAAAAAACAGCAATAGTCGCATCTTGTTTATTTTGCTGTCAGATTATAACTAAACGTCGTGGACAATATTTAATAATTCATATTGTTATTCGCGTACACTTTGAATAAAGTTTTTTTTAAACTACACGACCCACGTGACAGCTTTGTTTACGTGGTGACGTGTACCGGAAGACATGCTAGCTAGCCTGGCTGACAGGAGAGCTCTCGCTGTGAGTATAAAAACACGTTAGCGGTGGTTCAGTGTTATTTACCGTCGGTTTAATAAAACCCCCGGCCCGTGTGGACATATATGTAGCTGAGCCACATTCAGAAGTTAGAACAAATGCGGAAGTTCAGCGCTAGTGTACGTTTAGCTTAGCCAGTCCTAGCTGTCACAGCCGCTGACACGCCATCACCGCTGGGCTCGTCTCATCGCTGCGGACAGGTGCGAGTTTGAGCCTTTGCCTTTCTGATCACAGGCAGGATCATGTCCGGAGCACGTTGATATTGATGTTCCTGTATTTCTCAAAGAGTTTCCTCTTTGTGTTCATCTTCCCTCAGGTGTGAAGTTCCTGTGGGGCCACTGAAACAATGGCCAGCCCAAATGATCTCCAGTTCCAAGGTAAAGAACCTGCAGTTTCAACATGGCTCTGCTGCGGTTCTTGTGTTGTTTACTTTCTCTATGACAGTCTTGTCAGGCTACAATCTGGGGAAATTAGTGTTGAGCCATGACATCAGCCTCCACATTGAACTGTATGGCCTTTAAACTGAACATACATCTGAAGCTATGTCTGGTTTTGATAACGCAGCTAGGTCAGCTGTCAGTGTGCAATTGTAAACAACTCTGTTGTGTCTTTTGGAGTCAAAAGACTTTATTTGTCCAGCTAAGAAAAGGGACCCATGGTTGCTTCTGCCAGCCTTGTTGTGTGTATAATCATCTTCTCCTGCAATAGTCTCTACTCTACCCACAGGCAGCCTTCATGACCATCAACCAGATTAGTTTCAGGGTCACCTGAGGAGCAAAGAGTCGTGAAATGAGACAAATGAGAAGCACCCCACGTCTGCAGGAGATTTATAGTCAGCTCTAATGCCACAGTGACCCCTAATGGCATGTGTGATACCTGCAGGAGACGAGCTAAACCACTGTGCAGTTTAAACAGCAGCTGCTGTGGTCACACCTAGAGAATTTAAGAGACTTTGTGTCGATTAGTTTCATTGAAGACAAGTTCAAAAGTTCACAAATACTCAACCATGACAGCAGTAGTGTTTGATGAGTTGTCTGTCGAAGAGATAACAAGAAATGTACTCCAGCCAGGATTTTTTTGCATATTCTAAGTTGGCTCCTTACTTGTGCTGTGCTTTAGTTGAATCAGTTTGTCTCATTAGTCTTCTGCCTGAATAGTAACTGAGTGGGACCTGATCTGGAGTAGAACAGTGTGGTCTGTGTACACCTCCTGGCCCACTGTAGCACCACTGCAGTACCTTTGACTCCCTGTCTTCTGCCATGTATGTCTGTAGAGTTTGAGGAAGCGGCAGAGCTGTTGTCTGCAGACCCAGAGGCCTCCACACTCAGTCTGTCTGCCTCAGACAACTCAGCTAGAGCAGGAGGGGGCGAGGATGTGAAATTGGACCTATCAGAGGATGAGGAGGGTGAGGAGGAGAGTTCGGAGGTGAGTAAATGATCTGAGTTGGCTTGCAGCGCCACAACGCTGGTTAAGAGTGTTCATGTGTTTTGGGATGACGGCACCTGAGAGATGTCTTTGCTTTCAGCTGTTGGGTGGACAGAAACCAAGTGGTGGCTTCTGGACCTTTGAGTACTATGCGTCTTTCTTCAATGTGGACACTGTACAGGTATGAGCCGCTCCCTCTTTACAAACACAGTGCTCATGCAACTGCAGATGTAACTGAACAATGGACCCACACGTGTTTTTTAAAATAAGATATCAAGTTCAGAGATTTTTAATTGTGAAGGTTGATAATGGTTTGCACTGTTCTTGTGGTGACATCATGTTATGCAGGTACTGGACAGAGTGAAGGGATCGGTGTTGCCGTTACCTGGAAGAAACTTTATCAAGCACTACCTTAGATCTAACCCAGATCTATATGGTGAGTCACTGGAGAGATAGTAAATATTTGTCCCTTGGATTAAAAGACCACATGTGAAAATGTGATTTGCCACTTTTTTGTCATGGTGTATGTTTGTAGAAACTGTTMMATAGTTTACTTTAAGTAATCCTCTGAAAACTAAAGTGGCACATAAGTGGTTGTTTGTATGATCCTGTTTAAATCAATCTAAATGAAAAAACTATAACAGCTACATTTATTTATTGTGCAGCAGAAAGCGAAGGCCTCTGTCTTCTACCTCATCACATCACGCTTCTTTAACTGTGATAGAAATTGTTGATAACGCACAGTCGCCAGAGATTGGTGGGAGAGGAGCAGAGAAAAATGGGCAAATCTTAAAAACTATAAAATGTGTTACAAAATATTTTGTACATGTTTCTATTTTTATAAATTATTTGTATCAGTAGGTGTTATGTGTTAATTTGCAAAATTGTAGTATTTTCAGTACAGTGTACAGAGTTTAGGGATATGAATCATTGGGCACTGACGGATCTAGTCGGGTTTAAGCTGTAATAGATTTATTTTAGTGATAAAACCCAATCTGGATTAAAGGTTTTCCTCTTATTTTAAAATGATTGTTACTTAGGAACACAGTTGCAAGAAAGAATAAGCCACCCCCCTGGGATTATTTTCATTTATGTAAATCACTGCATCTTAATCTCTGTTCCATTGATGAACAAGCAGAATCGAGTTCAAACAGTAACATACAACTCATTGGATTGTTCTTTTCAATATTGAATACATGACTCAAACATTCACTGTGTAGGTTGAAAAAAAAAAAAAAAAACTCTCTTGTAAACCCGGAGTCCGATCAATGAAAGCTCACTGGGGTTAGTGCTATTTTCAGTTGTGATACATTTTGACTTTGTCGTTCACAAGGAGCGTCTGCTGATGTGAGAAATGTTTTACAAAAAGAGACCTTGGAGATGACGATCAGTGACTGTTGATTTGCATAAAGCTGGAAAGGGTTTAGAGTTGAGTTCTGTGGCTAGTCTCCATAGATGTGGGCGTCCTGCTGATATGACAAAACCATAACACAGGTGGTTCAGTGAGGTGAGGAAGAAAGTTTGAAAATCATGGTGTGTGATGCTCATGGTTTGTGGCCGTGCTGCCTGTGGCCCAGTTTGGGTTTGTTTAGATTTTGTTGGTGTCTATTGATGTAACACATGATGATATGCGCAGTGAAAGACTAATGTGTGTGTGTGTGTGTTTGCAGGTCCATTCTGGATCTGTGTGACACTGGTGTTCTCAGTGGCGATAAGTGGGAACCTGTCCTCCTTCATCAGTGAGATGGGAGACCCTGCCTACCACTACAGGCCACAGTTCCACAGAGGTCAGCCCCTCACAGCTTCTGTTGTCGTCCTCAATTTGTTGTGTTACGTTTACTTAGTCGTGCTGACTGTGCTTTGTGTCCGTTCCCTGCTGCTTGCATTCCAGTAACGATAGCTGCAGTCGTGATCTTCTTGTACGCCTGGCTGGTGCCAATTGGTTTATGGGGTTTCCTTACGTGGCGGCAAGGGACAGAGAGACAGATTGGAGGCTATTCTTTCCTGGAGACAGTGTGTGTCTACGGCTACTCCCTCTTCATCTACATTCCCACCTCAGTGAGTACACACCCCCTTACTGAAAGATTTACGAGTGAGTGTCAAGGTCAAAACTTAAGCAGAAAAAATATTTGGACAGAAAGGACCTCGTGTTTTTGCTTAATTTTCAGCATAGAGTGTAAAACACCATGTCACCCCTCCACTTCTCTTTAAGCATGGTCCCAACAAAGCTTTTCATTTTATTCCAGTAGAGATGAATACATACAGAAATGTTGATAATCAAGAAATGCCTCTCCTCCTGCAACTGTTGTTCTTTTTTCCATTTTCCCTCCTTTGTCAAACAGAAGGAATAGAAAAAGCTTTATTGTCTACTAGTCTGGAAATTTCAGCTACAAAACAAATCTCCTGATAAAATGGTTAAAAAAAGGCATTTGACAAAGACAGTTCATACTGATTCCACTGCCAACATTACGTTACAAGTACAATACATAGAATAAAATGAGTTAAATACAATGTGATTCTACAGTTCATGACCATTGAGGGTAAAGGCTCCAGAACAACACGCACCTCGTAGTTAAATTGTTTTCTAAGTGGCACTTTCTAAAGTCATGGATGAACTCGAACCTCATTGCAGTAGTGATGTGTTGACTCCACAAAAACTGAGCTGCTAACTTCAAGAGCAGAGGTTTCCTCTTCCTTGCATTGTCTCAGGCCACTCATACCAGAGCATCAGAATTCAACACAGATTAGTTCATATGGAATATGGAGGTAAAAGGACTCACACAGCATAAACATATACTTCAGTTTTCTTAACTCATTGTTTTTATTTATTTACCTCATCAATCTAAATTCAATTCCTCATAACGACGAAGCAACACATTGTCCCCAGGTTTTGTGGATCATCCCATTTGAGTGGTTGCGCTGGACACTGATCCTGGTTGCCATGGTGATCTCTGGCTCAGTCCTGGTCCTCACCTTCTGGCCCGTTGTCCGTGACGACACCAAGGTGATGGCTGTGGCCACAGTTGCGACCATAGTGGTTTTGCACACGCTGTTGGCAATAGGCTGTAAGGTTAGTGAGCGACGCGGATAAAGACTCATATCAGCTTGTGACAGTTGAACTCGTCCATTAGTTAATGTTGGACTCTTTTCTTTCAGATGTACTTCTTCCAGACAGCCGTCCATGCACCACCACCACCACCAGCAGCCCCTACAACACCCGCTATTCACATTACACTCACCACCAAACCCCACTGACCAAAGGCAGGGAGACAGGAGACGAAGGCTGTTATGTTTGGAATCACAGGTTTAAAATTGTGTTTTGATATTTAATCATGTGGATTATTGTCATTGTGTGATTTGTTGTACGCTCCCCTTGTGAGTTGGGATGGGTGTGTGTGTGTGTGTGTGTATGTTTGTATGTTTAATTTATCCAGAGGGTGGTTCTATCATAGCTGATGTAGACCTGCAATAACTGAACATTGCTACTGTGATGTTTCAGGATGTGCTGCATGTACATGGTCTAGAATGACTTCCTCAACACTGTGATTTCCCTCATTTCATCAGCAAGACTGGAAAAAAAAAGAGAAAGTGTAAAATTGCTAAAGCAGTCATAAATCCATGTTGCTGCCAATCGCTCCTTTTACGGGTGCTAAGAAAGCACATACCTCAACCAGGGCTAACACCCTATTACGCAACATTGAAAGTAAAAAATAATAATCCTGGATTTATTAAGAACTGCTTCAAAATATATCTTCTTCCTTGAGTCATACCACTGAATTTAATGGACCTGGTTCTGTAGTTTGAGTCATTGCTGACAAACAGCAATAAAAACATAAACTTATTGGGGGAGGTAACTGGTTAGTTTGATAAATTCATAGTCAGTTTGCCACATAGGATGCATGCTGATCCAAGAAAGTGATGACGAAGCTCCTAGTTTGCTGGTGACTGTGTGGGCTGTTTATAGTGAATAAAGCTGTACAAACAACGGCCCCTGATTCCTAGCTGACTGAGGTCAAGTGAAATTCCGTCTCAAGTCTTCACATGTTCACGTCATCACAATGAATCACACCGACTCAGCCTCTTTGTGCATATTTATTGCTGAGTAAGTGAACGTGGTAATCATTATACCTGCTGAACATCAGCATGTTAACATTGTCACTTTGTGTTTTTGTCAGTATCAGTTTGCATTAGCGTTAGCACAGCCTCATGGGACCGACAGCATAGGAATCGAACCTCAGTCTCTTTCCTTCATTAACATCAGGATGTTTTTCTGTCGACCTTGCAGCACAAAATGAAACCTTCTCCTAACTTCACTCATGCTTAAATTATCTCCCTAAAACTGAAAAGATTAAGACTTCGCATTACTAATCCGGCTCATTTATTCCCATGAGGCAGCGTGTTCCAGTCACAGATGCAGCAGAGGAAGTTGTTCCAGACTGAAGTGCAGTGTAGTGAATGTGTTTGATGAGTGAACAGAGCTTAGCCTCTGAGCCTTCACTTACAAAATGACTCCAGTTGTGTTGAGATGATTTATTGTAAATTGAGGAAGGAGTTTGTTATCATCACATTGATGCAGGTTTTTCTGTTAATAAACAGGCTCTCTTCTGCTTGTCAAGCTTGTCATCAAATATTTCATCCGTTTTTTCTCTCGACACTCAGCTGTTGACAACATTGTGGCACCGAGGTGCTTTCTGTACGATCTCCAACACAAATGCTATGGTTGGAAATCGTAGTTTTTTTAATTCCTGGATTTTATATAAATGGTGAAGAACGAACTTACTGACATGTGGTTTGTTACATTTTCATTTTAAATGCTATTCTATCTCCATTTAACCTGCGAAATAAGCCTACTGTGATGAATCTTATAGAATCAGGGGGAAAATGTAGCATGTTTTTGTTGGTCACCTCATGACATAACAAACTAGAGTGCAAACCTCCACCAAGCCCCAGTAGACTATTTTCATGGGAGCCATTATGACACTCTTGGATATCTGTTTAAATATTCCTGATTGTTTTCATTCAGATCCATTGGATTATTATAGGAAATCAGTTGAAATGTAAAAATAAAACACCCAATTGGGTTTTGTTGGAGAAAGTGAATAAAAGATCCTGCATCCAAAATGCATCCCTACCAAAATGTAAGGCATTCTACAAGAAAAAACTAAAATGTTACTTTTATCCTTTTAAAACTTAACTGGAGTTGGTGCTGTCAGCTGATTTCTTGATTATAAAGATTTGTTCTTCATGGTGCAGCAGCTTTAGAACGACATGGTGTGTTTATGGGATGTCATAAAGTCAGGTATTCATACTTCTTCGACGAACAGAAAAAGAAAAATATGTAAATGAATAAACGACAAGGTTAAAATTAGCTGCATTAGAAACACTGACACTGTGTGGCCGAGGCAGCAGCTGAATGTGCAGGAAAATGCAACCTTCTCTTGACTTTCTGTTATCATGCATTTCAAACACTGATAAAACCGACTGAGCAACAAAATGAAGTTGAAGTCTTCAGGGTCCACTCTCCTCCACGCAGGCATCATCCTTTTGGGCCTTTACAGACCAAGCATTAACATCTGTCCTGAGAGATTCTAGTGGTCAGCTCTGAGCTCATCTGTTCAAGCCTGACATTTAAATGTGTCCTGCATGCATCTCTTGCGAACAGATCTCCTTCTGTAAAACACAAATATTCTTTTTTTTTTTTAAACATAGGACAAGATGTCGAATGTCCCTTGTACGTTATACTAACTACTACTAACGACGCAGCAGGAAATTGTCAGGAACGTGTAAACAATAACATTTGCCAAACATTCAGGTGAGAGGTGGTGCAGCATGCAGGAAGGACATAACAGATCAATTCTGCTGTGCAGATCGCATGTTTTTGTTTACACATCAACATCAGTATCACCAAAAGCTCTCGATTCTCCTCGTCTTTCCCGGTTGACATCATCGGCTGTGTCTTCTACACGTATGCCAACCCTTTTTTTTTTTCAGTTTTGTGTCCATCGCATGCTAGAAACATTGCCCACTCACCCGCTGAGTATTTTTGGAACAGTTTCCTGCTGTGTCCTCACATGGGTTTTTTTCTGAGGAACTATCAGAAAAAAACTCCAGAGAACCACTGGGACATTTCACATAAAACTCTTTCAGATAATTTTAGAATTTCGGGTCTTCAGTGCATGTCTGTAAGCAGCAATAGAGATTGGAGTCCTGTGTGCAGCTAAGAAACATTATATCTGCACGGAGAAAAATAAATTGTGTTGTGGTGGCCACAAACTCATACATTTAAAGTCACTGAGAAGTGTAAAAATACTTAATATAGCCACACGTGGCCCAGGACGGAGCAAAAAGAATGTGGCCACGTGTCCCGGAACACCTCTAAATGTGATCTGATCATGTCACAGGACACGTTTGGGTGCATTCACAGCTGTTTATGGTGCTGACCACTTGTGATCAGCTCACTCAGGATGTTAGTTTAAAGCCTGAACTAAATATAATCTCACGAGACTGAAAAGTAAGCTTTATATATGAGGTAGAGCTGCTCTCTCGTGCTCAGCGCACAAGAAAAACTTGTGTAGTAATTTAGGACTGACCAACTGCAGCTGCCAGTGTTCATTGCAGACGTTCTCTGGCTGTATGTGGAGCAGAAGAGTCGTTTGTCAGACAGTGAGAAAAGTGTTATTACTGCTTTGTCAACACAGAAATAACAGAACATGACACACGTGTCGTCCGTACACACTTTTCCATGATAAAAGTGAATGCCACTATTGGCTACACAGAATAATGATAAAAAGGAACACAATAGCTATAGGCTACCACATGGTAAACAGCTGGTGTGTCCAGGCTTTCACAAACTAGAGGAAACAAATAAAAGTAGTACAACACCTGATTCCAGAATGGGGCTTGGAATATCTCCACCACATTTAATTTGCTCTCTTTTTTTAATTGTTGGTTTTGTGACAGAAAAAATTAACAAAATAAAGACAACAAAAAAGATTAATTCTACAAAGAGACTTTTTTTTTTCTCAGCTCTCTTAAAACTTGCCAACTCATAAATTCCAAATGAACAAAGTCCAGTAGTAGACACTGGAAGCAATTCATAGATGTGTCAGTCTTTCTCTCCTTGACTATTAAAAGGGGACATGGGTGTCTCGGGGTAATGATATGCTGGCGGTCATACATAGTGAACCGATGAGGAGGGAGATGATGGACAGGCCCTGTGTCCCATGCCTCAACAATGAAGTCTCTTTTCGACAGTCTCACAGTCTCAAGGAGGAAGCAGAGGGGAAGGAAACAAGGATGTAAACTAGGACGCTGCCAAATCCAGCACAGCTTCTCTCACTCCAGCAGCCAGTGGGCTGCCGCCTGGGTAATTGGTCCTTACAGGCTCGTTCTCCAAATCTCCCACGTCCAACTGCTGGAGTAACCTGCTTCGACAAACGACTGGCTGGGGAGGAGCTGCTGCAGTGTCCTCTTGGCCAAAGGAAAAAGAAGAGGTACTAAGAGGGCGGATGATGGGAGCGGCAGGAGGCTTGTTTCAGGTTTCCTGGACTACACTGTTCTAGCAGGAAAGGCAAGTTTTTGGGAGACTTTCCTATTGGTCATCTTCCACGCAAAGTCTCATTTACACTACGCCAAACTACTACTGTCGCTTTGTGTAAAACTAAGGGCGACACTAAGAATGCTTTTAAGAAGACACTGACAGTGTAACACAGTTCATTGTGCGAGACTAATACACACCAGTCAGGGGGCTAAAAGACTCGCTCTGTCAGACTAGACAAATTCCAACTTCCAGAAAGTCCCTTTTTTCAATTGGTTGTAAGAATAAAAAGTGTCACCTGGCTTTTAGTTAACTTTGAAATGCTATTCAAACCTGGCAACCCCACAGCATGTATGAGGACAGGACTCTTACGTTGCGGACCCTGGACCCAGCCGATTGTTGGCTAAGAACAACACAACTGGCCCGAAAACAGCGTCTTTTTTTTTTTTAAAGGTTCACATTTTAAAGATATAAACTTTAAAAGCTTTAGGGTTTTAGGGTATTCACATTACAGTATACTTAAAGCTGCGCTAATCTATATTTGTTATTAACAATGTCAGCAGGTGTCATTCATAGCGTTAAGAGAAAGGTTTTACAGCCTGTTTCATCTCAATGACTTTCGACTTCAGACACAGCTAAATGTGATGCTCATCTCTCATCACTAGGCATGGAAGGTGACCCGCGTTCTCCCAAAACTTGATGTATATGTGAACCTTGGTGTAAAGCAACAACATCACTGCTGCCAAGTACAAACACACAGGGTTATGAGAAGAACTCGAATGGTTGGTTTGTCTGAGTAACAAGAAAAAGCATATTTTCTACATCCTCCTAACGGTGCCAATGTAGATAAGCTGCAGTTTTACGATATATCAGCCTCTGCCGACAGAATGAGTCATATACACTGAGAAAACAAGGGAAACGGGTTTTGTGTGATCTGACACTTGTCTGGCATGAGTCAGTCTCTTGTGCACAAAGACTATGGACATGTATTTGTATCCGATATGAAAAGCCAAGATGGCAGCTCAGAGCAGAGTGTTGATGATGATGATAATAGTGTCCTACTACACTAATGCAACACTTCAGTGACGATGTGGTACAGAGGTGAGGAGAATTGTGGGAAAGGACTGATGCTGGTATCTGGCAACAGGTAGATTGGGGGAAACACTCTGGGATCATCTTGACATTTAAAAAAAGATAAGGGGGTTGGAGGGATTGAGACAGTAAGGAGGGTGAAAACCCAGGAGGGGGATAAGTGATAACGGCTGTGCATCTCGGCTGTGCATGTGTTGCAGTCCCAGGAGGAGAAAGGGTAGAGGAGGTTTCGGGTGTTAGCAAGACAAGAGTCTGGACGGATACGAGTGTTTGACTGTTTATATAGTTCATATTGTGATGGACTGAACGGAGTAGATTGACGAACAAGGGGAGGGAGCAGTGCCAGCACAGCACTGGTTTTGGTATATTGGTTTTGGCTGCGAATGGAGGATCAGTCAGGGTTGAAGGGTGGAGGGGGTGGCAGACTGAGGAGCTCCACTGGGAGGGGTTGGGAATCTCTTGTCATGCGGGGGGGTGGGGAGGCTGAAGAGGTTTTTTGCGAAGTCCTTGTCTTAACTGCCGTAATGCATGGTGTTGCTGGGGATGACCATAGGTGAGGCCATGGAGATGGCAGCGCCGCCCATTGTGAACTGGTTGGTGACGGGATAGTAAGAACCACTGCTGCTCGGGCCCGACTGTCCTGTTGTGGCTCCTGGATGGAAGAGAGCAGGTCGTCATTCAACATTCACTCTGAAGACTACTGCATGGTACATTTTGTGTTTATAAAGATGCACATACTGATTTCATTGTTCGTTTCTGTTAAGCTGGACGTACCCTGCACAATCCCTGTGCTCATGATGGAGCCCATCCTGGAGTGGGTGTGGTTTACAATCCCTGTGTTCACTGTGACCAATCAGAGAAGAAAGCACAGTTACATGACACAGATTTGAGCACGTCTTCTGTTCAACTAAAAAATACTACATAGATGCCATGAAACCTGTTACATTAACTCAAGTTACTCACAGTGGCAGTCCAGCTACTGACTGTCACATTTTTGGGTAGTGTACATGTGAAAGCTGCTGGAAATTTTCAGCTGAAATTAAAAGTTGAAAAGTCAAGTTTTAGTGTTACGGATTGAATAAAGATCAAATGTTAAAATGACAGAGCTAAATGAAAAGTAAGATCAAGTGTCAACAGTGAGCTGGAGGCATCCTGAAATGAAGTGCCTGTATAAAGTGAATACATACACACGTTAAGTAGAAGATCGCTTCCCAAGTGTACACTTTTAAGAGTTTTCTTCTGACTGTCTTTACAAATACTGAGAAAGACTTTTCAGGTGTTTCAGCCAAGTTCATTTTTTTAAGAAATGAATCTTAAAAAGTGGAATGCTTTCTTTCTTGACTTCGTACAGGATGATATACACTCACTGGCCACTTTATTAGGCACACCTGTTCAATTGCTTGTTGAAACAAAAAGATAATCAGCCAAGATAGAACCGAGCATCAGAATGGGGAAGAAAGGGGATTTAAGTGACTTTGAATGTGGCATGGTTGATGGTGCCAGACAGGCTGGTCTGAGTATTTCAAAAACTGCTGATCTACTGGGATTTTCATGCACAACCATCTCTAGGGTTTACAGAGAGCGGTCCGAAAAAGAGAAAATATCCAGTGAGCGGCAGTTGTGTGGACGAAAATGCCCTGTTGATGTCAGAAGTCAGAAGAGAATGGGCAGAGTGGTTCAAGATGATAGAAAGGCAACAGTAAGTCAAATAACCACTCGATTTCAGCTGTGACATTCAGATGGTAGGGTCAGAATTTGGCGTAAACAACATGAAAGCATGGATCCATCCTGCCTTGTATCAACAGCTCAGGCTGGTGGTGGTGGTGGTGTAATGGTGTGAGGGACACTTTGGGCCCCTTAGTACCAATTGAGCATCTTTTAAATGCCATGGCCTACCTGAGTATTGTTGCTGACCATGTCCATCCCTTTGTGACCACAGTGTACCCCTCTTCTGATGGCTACTTCCAGCAGGATAATGCACCATGTCACAAAGCTTACATCATCTCAAAATGGTTTCTTGAACATGACAATGAGTGCACTTACTCCAATGGCCTCCACAGTCACCAGATCTCAATCCAATAGAGCACCTTTGGGATGTGGTGGAACTGGAGATTCGCATTATGGGTATGCAGCCGACAAATCTGCAGCAACTGCGTGATGCTATCATGTCAATATGGACCAAAATCTCTGAGGAATGTTTCCAACACCTTGTTGATCTATGCTATGAAGAATTAAGGTAGTTCTGCAGGCAAAAGGGGGTCCAACCCGGTACTAGCAGGGTGTACCTAATAAAGTGGCCGGTGAGTGTAGATCATGGCTGTGTACAGGTAAGGAGACCTTTTGATTTGGCCTGTCAGGCAATTTTCAAGTACAAGCTGTCAGGTCACAGTCGGGGTGTGCACAACACATGGGCAGCAGTTATGTGTCATTTTGACATACATCATGGCGACTGTCGAGAAAAGTCAAGTAGATGTGGACTGCTTTACAAGAGAAATGGACAAACAATTATGTTTTGTTGAAGTAAAAGACAAGCCAGTGAGCCAGTTTGCATGAAAACGCATGAAGAAGGCCGACAGGTCGATCATTACAGGTGTTCACGTGTCTTTAAGAAGGGTGGTAGGACAGATTACTGATATGGCACAAGATATTTAAAAAAAGACACCACTGAAGGACAATTCAAAACATTTACACTCTTGTCTTTTTTGTTTGATGAAACAAAAGACACACCAACAAATAAACACCAATTGATAATTGTGTGTGTGGGATGTGATGGGAGTTTGAAACAAGGGAGGAATCACTTTCTTTGAAAGCCACAGATCACACTACCAAAGGTGACAATTGGTTTGAGCAAGTTGATTGGGCAAAAACCAGTAGTGAGTAGCATCATCATCACTTCCATTTGACATCAGATATCTGGTTAATCGAGAAGTTATTGTTATACAGGTGTTCATCTATTTCCTCTTATGAATGGAGTTACCAGTTGAAGAAAAAGACATAAAAGCAGTGGAGATAAAATGGCCTGACTATATACCATAGCATGTTATCAAATTATGAAAAGTTACACAAATGTAAAATTATTTCTTTAATAACATTACATTTAAACATGAGGTTTAGACTGATCGACTGTCTCTCACTGGTTTTAAAATGTCAAACGTTCACATATCTGCCTCTTTACTGAGGCTGAACTTATATCAGCTTGTAACTGATCATGAGTTGGTATGTTATGTGACAGCTGTCTCTTTCAGAAACTACTCTGAAATTACATTATTTCAGCCTTGTGAATGGGGATTTGGCAGCCAAGCAATCAAAGTATTTCACTAAACTTTCATGCACATCTGGCACTTCCTGCTGCACTGCAGACTTGGTCTGTCGCTCTCCTATTGATATTCCTGACATAACGTTTCATGAGGTGTGTAGAAGTCCAGAGGTGTGTGGTTTGTACCTAAGGGGATGAGGTTGTTGTGAGACACTGCCGGGCCGCTGCCAATGACTGTGCTGAGGTCATAAGCTGCAGGCATCCCTGGAGGAATCAAGACAGAAAACAAAGCAATAAACATTAACCCCACAGACATAAAAAAATATTAGGCTGTTTGTTGCCTTTTGTTTCCTTGTTACAGATGTGAGGCAGATGAGACACTATGAACACAACCATGTTCATTTCACTCCAAAGGTTAGCATTAGGCTTTGTGGCTTGTGATTGAAATAATTACAGAAAACATGTTTCTTTCAGCGCAATCGTGATTGATTCTGCTTTCTGGGGCACACATATTTGTCACATATAAGACGTGGAAGGAAGAAAACAGGCTAAATAATGTTCTCAGATCAGTTTTGGGGGACACAAAACTGGCAGGAATCAGATATTTGCTATTGTGGACTCAGTAATGATGCAAACAACACACAGTCAGTAAATTTCATTTTGTTGTGTTTATGCATCAAATAGGGCACAAAACTACAGATACAGACACTGTGCAACGCCTTGCATGTGTTTTTAAATGTGAAAGTATTGGTGGAACAACAGGAAATTTTGGGTTTGTAAGTGAAAAAACAGTAAAGTGGTTTATAGTGTAGATAGGCAAAAATATCAGTTGATGAAGCCCTGATACAAAGAAGACCATGAATGCATCGCTGGCTCTGATCCCCACTTCTCATAGCAACTGTTTATGACACAAGGCTCCAGAGTGCGTCAAATATTTAGCTGGTGTGTGTGTGTGTGTGTGTGTATTTCAGCGAGTCGTAATGCCTCTCATCTCTCCTCTGCGGAGTTTACACTCACACACACAGGCCCCGCCCACACTCACTCAAACAGGGGAAACAGACGGTGGAGATGAGAGAGGAGAGGTGATGAAGGAGGCTAGATATTGTCGAACAGTAGTGAATAATGTTTCCACAGTACAGGGTTTCCGCAACAGACTGCTTGTGCAGAAAGATTACCGCCACTGTTTCGGGGTCAAAGCAGAAGCTCTGGTTAGTTTGTATTGTGTCAGTTTCCCTTCTGGGTGTGCTACCTCCACACTCCTGCTGACCTGCGCTCACTTTACACTTCAACAATAAACACAGACACTAATCAGAAGTTATTAGGACCTGAACAGTCCTTTGTTTTTGTTTGATGCAAGTTTGAGACACGTATTTAAACACATTGAAAAAGAAATTTAGTAACTGCCATACACATGATTGTCAGTGTGAGTGAAGAGTGATGGAGATGAGCACACTCACTCACTCTCTCTCAGACAGACAGACAGACAGACAGACAGAAACCTAGAGGAAAGGCTAGAATACTAACCAACTACAATAACTCACCTACATAACCATCTCATCCTGTTAACTGAACTAGTAACATATGTCCTGAGCCAAATGTTTAATATTTATTCAACAACGATTTTTGTTAGAGCCAGAGTGTGCATTTTATTTATTG